TTTCCATATATATTCAAACAAATGGTTTGGTTGAAATGTAATATATATTCTTTATTATATAAATGTATCAAAAATATGCATTCATCTCCCCTTGTACGTCTCTTGAATAGTTTTACACAATTTTTATAGACCTGGCGTTCGATTTTGCCCTATTTTGAAAAATTTTCTCCTAATTCTTACCATATATTCGTACAAGTGCTTATTTTATTTGAAAGATATCACGAATGTACTTCCTCAACCTACTTCTTCACCACAGCCTACTGTTTGGTTTATTATCTTCAATATTTATAGTTTTTGAGGCATTGCAAACATGAAAATTACTATATTGATCTGTTTTAATCACTACTGACAAACCAAAAGCTTTCCACAAATGGAAATATTAAAAACAGAATGATTATATCGCGTACAGTCGATTCTTAGCGAGTGGTCTATCATCGCCCTCCTGTGTGATAACGGTGGATAACAGACACTTTCGAAATTGTTTAAACGTTCTCTGTCGTTCCCCTAATTTTAATCTTTTTATATCTTAGGCTGACAATTCTTCGCTTCCTAATCTCTTTACTAAACATCTCACGATGCTTCTCTTTGTACTCTAGAATACGTTGGTTCAAACTTTTTTGGTAGTCTTAGGTGACTGTATATATATATTAGCTGTTGATGAGCGATGAGGTATCGGCCTTTGTAGAATTTTTAATGGTGCGTTTTTGGGCCTGAGCTCGTTTGGCAAGAGCTCCCAGACTTCTCCGCTAGTTTGACATTTCCCCTTGGCTGAATTTCACAGTAAAGCAGACAATATTGTGAAAGATTCACCTACACCAATTCGCTTTCAATGCTTCTGCCGGATATTTCAGGAAATCATCTCCAGGCGCACCGTACACGAAACATAGTGTGATGGCGAGGAACAAAAAGTACTCAAAGTTGTTGGATTAGCCGTATTCATAACAAACTGTACATTGTTAGTGTTTGCTGCTGGTTGATGAAACGTCTCCTTTTTGGCAGTTCTTTTAAGCGAGTTTGTTTTTAGCTTGAATTGATTTGAAGTAACTGATCCTACCGCCCCCTTCTTATTAGAATTTTTGCTCTGGTCATCATAATTGAGCTTATTTACTTGTCTTTGTTTATTTTCTCGTAACAAGTTTTCTGTTCTTCTGCATTCGATACTGTCGGCTTTGGTGGCAAAAATGAGCGTAACTAAACTTGACTTGATATTCAACTGGATAATTTTAATTAATTCTCGCACGATTCACCAAAACTGATTTTGTTTTGTTCCCTTTGTCTCTCAATGCGAAAAATGCAATTTTCTAGAATAAACCCTTTCCTGACCAATCTAATACAATCTGCCACCGGTTAAGTTCAACAATCTTTGTGCAATTAATTCCGTTGGTGTTAGCTGAAGTTTCAACCTGATCTAGGATGCCCTTTGTTAATATTATGCTCTTATATCGAATCCGCCTCGCCCTGAGCTGGTGTCGATGTCATTGCAGATGTAACTTATGTGTTACCAAACCCTGTCATCTGACTGGTTTGACTTGGTCTGGCCACAATACTCTTTCTCTCCTTGTTTAAGTTTCCAATTTGGACCATGCAACTGACAAGAACCTCATCCGTTGAGCAGGGTTTACCTCTGTCACAGTAGCAGATTGACGTTTTTCCCTGCCGTGACTGTTCTTGGCAATCTCTGAGGGTATGGTGCTGATGTTATGTTGTGGATCCTCGTTCGAAATCGTGAGAATTCGATTCAATGTGTGAAACGGGCCCCTAGGTAAACAAGCTATTGAATAATACTTTCAAGTCCGAACTGAGATCGTTGAAAGATTCGATCGTACCGTGTCAACAGCGATGTATAAAATAAGTGAGTGGAATCATGTTCTTTAATATTGTCACAATGTTATTAATGTTATTAATGTGGTTATCTAGTCTAATTACTATTATCAAATTTAAACTGTTCTTATATATATCTAGACTAAACTATCTCCAAGAAACTAGTTTTTAGAAACGGGATATTCCTAACAATGAGGCAAAGAAAATGCTCAACCAAGGTTTCAAATTTTTGGGTAAGGAAATTTCAAATCATGGAATGAAGCGAGTAAAGCCCAAAAAAGAAAGAACAAATAAATAAGAGAAAAAATATCACTTAATATTAGTGTCTACTGGATATATAATTGTACAGTTGACAATTATTAAAAATATCACAAAAAGGCTTATAAACCTGTACGTATGCGTATAGAAATATTTACATGTATAGTGATATGTTATATTGAATAGTGAAATGGATAAATTGGCATTCAATCAAATAAATATTCTTATATCTATTGGGCGATAAAAATTATTGTAAATTATCAATCTGAAAATTAATATTTACATCTATATTTCAAATATAGAAAAAAAAAAAAAATTATCACCTTTTTTTCATCATATCAAGGTTACCAAGGTTCCCCAGTAATTTCTGCACTACCAATTTAACAAAAAGAAATTCCTAAACGGTATACTTGGACAAATAAACCGTGATCACATTTTATATTGGTTTCGCTATAGGAAATGCTTGGAATATATCCCGCCTCCGTCTATGAAACTACACCCAAAAGAAATATGCATTTTCCAAATGGCCATTAAGTTCATAACTTTATTGGCATACCATTAGAAATCCAAAAAGAAAACAAAAACTTATTAAAGAACATTCCACTTTGTTGTTGCCCGATCAATGCGTACCACCACACATGATGAGAGAATCCTGAAGACTTTAACTAGTGTCAGAAAAAGAATAGGAACCTTATTAGGACCACACCAAACATTCCTCCTTGACCGCCCTGCCCAATACTTTGAAACCACGGTTTCAAAAGTGCGAGAACAGTTTGGTTGATGAAAAAACAAATTGTCTTCACCTAGTCATTAAATAAAAAAATTTTGATAAAATATATAATTTTTAAAAGAAAATTCATAACAACCAAACGGAAAGTCAACACTAATCATAGAGTTTATAAAGTTATGTCCATCACTGCTAATCAGGACCCACTGTATTTGCTTTTGCCTGCTACCAATGCTCACTATTGAAATTATAAAGCTAAGTTACAGATTACGCACATGTATACGCATAGATGGCTGAGAGTGTTAAATTTTTAACCTCTCATTTCTTGATTCTGCACTGCTGTACCAACATACTGAGAGTAATTGATTGGTTTTAATACGAAAAAGAAATATGCATGTACATATGCAAACTGCCTCATTAAACAATTTTCACAATTCCTACATCGTTCGACATTTTAGAAATTTAAATCATGACTTTGTCTAAGATGTAATTTTTCTTCCTCATTATTGCATGCGTCAATTTCTCCTTTCACTAAATCGCTTTTTTGACATGTCGTTTTGAGGAGCATGGAAATTTAAATTGAATTCTGTATTAAATGGTTCTTTATAGCTCCACTCCTTAACCACTTTTGTAATTACAACCACTATCTATTGGTTCATTTTTGACGATGTCAATAAAATACATTGAATTAAGTTAGTTTAAGATAATGCGTAGCTCATGGACACATTTTTTTTTAAATTTTGGCTTAAATCACTTTCATAATTATGGGCGTTTATGTAGGACTACGTAAATTATGTTTGGTATTATACAAGTTATGTGTGTATTTATACATATATATACATATTTGATAGTTTTCAGGCGATTATAATTTTCGTTCTACTTTCCTTTTTTTAATTTGACATCACAAAAAACAAAAAAATTACATAAGAAAGAAAGCATGCCAGTTGAATTTGTAGGAAAAACACAAGTACAAATTTATAAGAAAAATCACTTGTAGAATGCGTTGAGAGGCAGTGTTCCGCGCAGTGACGTCAAGTACAACTGTGTAATGGCGCCTGTTTGTATACAAGAATTATTATAAAGTATAAAGAAAATCAACAAATTTTCATTATTTTCGTGCAATTAAGCGAAACTATGTTAATAATCGCGAGTTTAACTTTGAATAGAATCGATAATTATATGAAAAAAATTGAAAGATTACGAAATGTTCATCTAGAATATGATAAATTATTGACTGAGAGAATTGGAATAATTAAAGTAACCGGAAAGAACCTTAAAAACTGTATTATTGTTTTCTTTTTTTAGCTTTTCTTTCTTTTGCGTGATGCTCCACTTTGTAAAGAAGAATTGGTTTAGCAACCTATTAAAATGGATATATATATGTATGGATACATGAATGTCCACAT